ACGAACTCTAAATTTGCATGACTTTATCTACATTAAGTCAGTTCGAAGTCTTTTTCTTTGCCTAGCTCACTATTTTGACCTATAAAAATGAGATAATAATCTCAGTAATAGAATAACTCGTTATTACTAATTATCACATGTAACTATAAGCAAGTATAACATAATATATATCTAAACATAGTATATATCATGAATTTTGCTACAAATCACCTCTTCAATATCATATTTCATAACTTTCATAAGCATGATCACTACCATCTGAACCTCTAAAACACCTTGACTTGAAACTATAGACTCACCTTATACCAATACACATACTCATTAGCCTTGAGCACAATTTTAGTGGTAGAATCACCCGATCAAAGGCATTGTATCTCACTTCCAGACTATGGTTTCCCCCATCACATACAATGGAGTGTCATTAGCCCCAACATTATATCACTCTGATACTAAAGAGCTCAGATCTCCAACATTGCACCCCACATAGGTACTAAAAAGATAATTTCCAACATCGCACCTCAATAGGCATTAAGGAGATGAAATTCTCCTACACCGCACCTCGTCAGGCACTAAAGAGAATAATGCCATATAGACTTTCACTTCTTCTCTCTATAGCTGAAATCTCACCCCCTATGATCATGCTTTCATACCAAACACTGGTTTACATTCACAACCATATATATATATATATATATATAATATAACCATATGTTTTCACTTGTTCGTTTAACTAAATTCTATTTCATACAACAATCATGCATTATCTCAAAACATGTTAGGTTTAAAACAATTTTATGCATTATCTATTATAATACTTACAAAAAATTACAATAGACAATCAAATAAAGTATGTTATTTGGTTACCTCAATGCTTTTATCACAAGAAAGGTTACTCATGTATTTCAATAGCCGCTTCTCACTTTACATGTAAAATATGCCAATCTATATACAATTAGCACTATTAGTCAATTAATCAAATTGACCAAAAAAACTTAATTACTACTTTAGACCACATCTAGCCATTCATTCATTTTCACTTAGTCAATCTAGGTTCATTACTACTCATTTACCACTTTCTATCACTTCTAGTGATCTCATTTCACATTTACTCAATTTCACCCCTTTTCTTCTCTTATATAAGGCCAAATTAAGCTTATAGCTTTAAAATCTTATTGTTTAATCCTAAACTAATCATAAAGCCTTAATTTAACTTTTGAGAACCTTTTTATTACTATAAGATAAGAAACTAACCCTTTAAATTTTCCCGATTCAATTTCTTGATAACTCATAACAAGAGAAATTATAGTAGAATTAAAATTAAGGGCTGTACGAAACTTATTCGATAAGCTAATGGTCAAAAATACCTTCCATGTTCTCAAGAATTCTTGCCCTAGCATGACGATGACCTCCTCTTCTTTCCTTTCGTGTGTTTTCTCATTTTTTCCTCTAAACTCATAAGTTGATTCACGACTTATTAGATCTTTTTTTTTTGCCATGTGCTATGGTTCAAGCAACTTGTGCCATAGCGTGTGGTACAGTAAGGGAAATCCTCACCACGTGCACATGCTTCCTTCTAAGACGTGACCACTTCACCATATCTGCTCATTCAATATCTCAAAGATTCACAGCATCAAGTTGTCATTGGAAATTCTAATTACTTGCTAATTACTAATTCACTCTTGGTTAGCAACTAGTTTAAGAATTAAAAAATCAGGATGTTACACTTATGACAACCCATAGATTTCAAAAATAGAGGAATCCATGGTATGAGAGTGAGTGGATCACCTTTGGACGGGTAACTCTTCATGATTGCTGAGCTTAGTCTAGTCTATTACACAAACCTAGTCTTATTTTGATTGTCAACCCATAAATTTAGTCGGTAGTATAAGGAGGAGATAAAAAGTGGTTTGATTATCCATTCTTTATGTCATGAGATATAATATTGTGTTATGAAATTGATTGATTTTAAATGCCCACTTTGCATGTCTTAATTGATTCAACTTGTATGTGTATGATTTAGAGTTTTCTTAGTTACTAAGTAGTTATACTCACTCCTATTTAATAATTTTACAAGCACTAGCTCTGGGAAGGATAAGGAAAAAGCATCTGAGGCTTAGGAATTAGTGGTTCATACTGTATGCCTCTCATGTTGATTTTTATATGTGTAATTTAATAGTGAAATTTCCAGCTAGGACAATTATTTTGATTACTTGCACCATTGCATGTTATTTGTGTTGGTTTGTTGTATTTGGTACCCTAGGCTTTGTTGTATAAGATATTAATAATTAGTTACTGCCTAAATACAAATGCAAGTATGCTTATGCTTATTTTGATGATTGTAAGTGGGTATTTGGAGATTTTATGCCATAAACCTCTCATATGCTTTTTGATAAAATTGGAATTAAGAAGTGAAAATGTGAATTGTGTTGTATATGTGTGTTGTGGTGCATTCTACATGTCCTTAGTGTCCTGAATTTTGTCTAGGTAATTGTGTGGACTTTTGGTACTTTGGTTTGGTTTTGGATACTTAGCAAATTTAAAAGTGTGAAAAAAAGAGTATTTTTGGTTCCAAGTGTCTTAACTTTTTGATATGAAATATTTTGGTAGTAGAACTAGTGTCATCATTGAGTAAGCTTTTTATGGATACCTACATCACCTCAATTGGCTACTGGATGAAAAATCAAGACATATCAAAAATTCAAGCACAGATTAGGTTTATGACATCAAAATATTGTAAGATTCTATGCAATGTTGCAACACACATAATAGAGGAGGTTTGGTCGCAGCATATAGGTGGTTGGCAATAGCAAATGCTCCATGTTGTGATAAAATATTATTTTTGACCCTTTTTTATTATTTTTAATTCGAATGGTATCACATGCTTCCATATACTTTTAAACTATCACTTATGCATGTTTGGACTTTGAAAAGATTTGAATTACTTATCCAACTTGAGATCCCAATGATTTGTTAGATTATGCTTTATTATTTATGGGTTTCAACTTTTTTTAATATACTAGTATTTAATATTTTGTTTTAATCCTTTCTACCATGGCAAGGTCCATTTATATACTTTTTATTTGAATTATATAGTAAGTTCAATTCTATCAACCATAGCAGACTTTTAACTTTAGTCTTTTCCTTTTCTACTATAGTTAACTCTTTTTAACCACAATTATTTTTTTTACTAATGTAAGATAACTATGGTGGTTAATCTTTAATTACCATGGTAATATGTATAATATTATGGTTAAGTATTTGAAGTAAATTAGGTGATATTATAGTTGAAATGTTCAATAATAATCATCTTTATGAATGTTACCTTCATTTTATTCTCTCTATTAAATTCTTTATTTTCTCAACATGGTATCCATGTCTCAATGGATTGGTGTAATTCTTTATTACTCATGCACATTCTCACAATGATGGTGTTTTTTTAAAATTAAACTTTGTTATTCAGCATCTCATACTAGCCATCATATAAAAAGTATTGTCAAACAATTATCAATTCCTAATGAAATGGATGTAGCAGTAGTTTGCAAAACCCAAAGTTTATACTTGATGTATGATGTGTGATGTATATGCCATTACAAAGTGATTTATTAATCTTCCTACAAGTCATTTAACCGCGATAGTGCATGTCACTTTAATTGTAAAATTTAACAAAAGTGATTTTTTTTAAAAAAAAGACAATGGAATATTTTCAAGAAAAACAAGCAAATCAAATTATAAGTTCTTAATTAAAATAAAAAAATATAGGGACTTAATTTAAAATTGAAGAAAATAAGAAGTACATATAGATTAATGTTTCCTATTTTTCAAGGCTTAAATAAATATTGAAAAAATTCACAAAATTGACTTTTTTCCCCCAAAATGAGAGGATAAAATTAAAAATTTTGACTTATTAAAAAAAATTGACACTACTATGAAATTTACTTTTTACCTTGATTGAAAATCACTTTTTACGTCGGTTCTATGGTTAATGTAAAAAAATTAGAATTTAATGATTAACGTAAAACTATTTGAATGGATTGGAAAAAGTTAAAATTTTTAATGAAATTAATGGATAATATATATCATTGTTGACTCAAGAGTATCAAAATTTTATATATTAAAAAAGTTTTGAGATCTTTTTCGATGTCAAGAAAAATGACATATATTTTTATATAATAATGATAAATAATTAATTTCACTAATGTTTTAGTTTTTTTATAAGTTGATTAACTAAATAGTTTAACATAATTTTGGATCCATGCACTTTACTCGAATTTTGTTATGAATCTGTATATTTTTCTTTTATATTCTAAATTCTTACACTTTTTTTTGGTTATAAATCTTTACACTTTTATTAAGGATTTAGAACACTAAAAAATAAACATATAAGATCTAGAATATAAAAAATATATAAAAACCTAAAATAAAATTTGAATAAAGTGTTGACATCTGAAGTTATGTTTTCCTTAACTGAATTCTTAAAAGTTTACGGGATATGAGAGGCAAGAGTCAGGCACAATTTTCACGTGCATAAAAGAATATTTACGAGAAGGAAAAAGGTTGGGAAGAAAAGGCCATCTTTATACCAACCTCGAAAATAGGTCGAGCCAGTCTCATCATATAATCGTCCACATCTGACGTTCAGTCTTCTCTAATTTCTTCTCAGAGGTATAATGTTCATTTGGAACCCTAACTTGATTCCATATGATTCTGTTCCTATTTCAGTGTGTGATTTTAACACAGAATCTCTATTACTTATCCCCTAATTCATCGGCCGTGTTTTTCCTTTTGCCATCTTCGGGATCACGCTAATAATTAACTTACCTCTTCAATTTTGTATTTGTGTCTTAATTTGCAGTTGAAACATTGGGTGGCGACCTAATTTTGGAGTTCGTAAATAATGCATAAATACTCTTTGGATCAAAGTACAATTGGTTCGATCACAAGTCAGTCACGCCAAACTCAATTTCCATTTCTGATATCAAATTTGGTTAGGCATTGATACTCGATAGAAAGGTACTTTCGCGATTGCTTTAGGTAACACTCCAGAAATCATAACCGTGCAGTTAACCATCTTCATCACATGCAGTGTGGAAGATAGTGACTGTGTACGTAATGTGTTCGAGAATTGTCCAATCCAAAAAAATCAAGCCATTAGTACGAGGCCATACGTCCCGCACTAAGCAGGGAAGACTATGCAATTCTAGCCGTAAAGATGATGCCTGGTACTTTCATCACGTTTCTCTCTAGAATAATTGTGGTGAATTCTTCCCTTTTTTAAAGTGCATGTGCTGTATTGATACGCAACCCTGTGAGAAACCCACGTTGAACACGAGGAATTATTATAGTGTAACATCTCATGTGCTGAACTACCTTAAATGGAAATACCAGTACTGACTCATTTTACACCACGAAATCCTTTTAAGATGTCTTAATTTCTAACTTGCTAAAGCAGAGCCTATTTAGCTAGCTAGCTTCTGCTTCCTTTATTATTGATTCCAATAAAAGATTCGAAGTTCCGTAGCAGAACAATATCACCAATTTTCAAGTTCAAACAATCATCTTTATTGAGTTCTCAGTTGATGTTTCTTCCAAATGTTCAAACAAATAGATGAACAAACCTACAAGTAATATCTAGTAGAAAGTAAAAATTGGTAAGTTATGGCAGATCCCTTTTATCTTTTTATCATATTGGTCCAAATTTCAAATCCATCTGCTTCATCAATGCAGTTATGAAGCTAGGTACAGTGATCATTAGAATCAATGAGGGGAAGTTATTCATTAAAATGGTTTTAAGAATGATATGATTTTTCAAGTTTTTCCCTATTTAAAAGCATGAATTTTCTTTTAAAAAAAAAAGCTAATTAATAATTTATTTCTGTGCAAAGTGAGACTAATATATCGCATATAGGACAATTAAATTATTCTAGAATGTAACTATTTTATATGATTGGGTGGAGTGTAAGTTTAAAGATTGTAATCTAATCTACCAATCTATCACTTTTTCTTCAACTAGCCTACCACTCGTGCAATATTTCGAAAGTTTAAAAAGAAAAATTACATGCTTGTTAAATCATATTACAAAATAACAAAACACATAGTTTAATGCAAGCTAAAAATCTTAAAATTATAAAATTATTTACTAGTTAAATTAATAAAATTGATTTCCCCCAAAATTATCTGATAGTAGATAGTAGATAGTAGATTAGGGTGTCCATATGCTTAAACTGCACCTTGAAACTGGAAAAAAAAAAAAAAACAAACCAAACAAACAAAGCCTTAACCATCAATATTAGTATTTTCTGTTTAGGTTTTAACAGCTTCAAGTGATTCAAACACCGCATCTTGCTTTCAATCTCTTTGACTCAAATCTCTGCACCTATATGCAAAGGGCAGAGTATATATACTTAGAAAGGCTAAAATGATTACCCTTTGTAGTTCGTGTAGCATAACTTCGCTGATGTTCAAGTTGGACGGTTCTAATTAATCTAACCTACCAACCTACCTCTACTTTTAATGACATTATCCTAAACTTAATCTATATTGGAAAAACCCTGCAAAGATATTGTCTTTGTAGCCATTTAGATTAATGTTTTCTCTGTTAGGATTCAACAACTTCAAGTGGTTATATTAAATCCCTTTGGCCCGAATTACCTTACCTCTATATGCAAAGGGCCAGAGGATACTTACAAGGCTAAAATGGTCGGACCCTGTAGTACGTTTAACCTGATGGATTAATATTATAGTATCAATGACATTTAGGCTCTTCAATGTAAACCGATGAACTGACCCTCTGCCAGCCATTTCTCGTCTTCAATGATAATGAACAAAATTTTCTGTCTTAATTTAGCTGGCAACTGTCCTACTAACTATCTTGTCAAGCACCTACGCAGGCCAATTATTGAAGAAGGCGTGTCTTATAATATCCGGGGGCAGTAGTTTTATCTCGAGCTACAGCAACGAGAACAATATTGGTAATTATAAAAGTAATCTTGTTTGCACATTTTGCGATTAAATTCAAGTAGTAATAAATGACTGTGAGTGGACTGAATCTATAAATAGTAAATGCCATTATTGCATGCTGAGTGGTACTGGTATATGTGAAGATCATGGTGGGACTGTTGGTTTTGAAGTAAGGAAAGAAAAAAAGCATTATATACAGTGACAGGAGATGCCAGCTGCAATCCAATCATGTTGGAGGGTAATCCAATCATGGTGGAGGGTATGTAACTTAGGACCTATCTATTAATCTATGGCTTTAGAGCAGCATTGGCATGCTCAAAATGGTCCACTTCTTCACTCTTTTTGCAACACATTACCCTACCCATTGTCATGAAATAGGACTACGGACCCCAAACAAATAATTGTGAGGAGGGAGTTATTGTCTTGTAAGGTTCTGTATCAGTCAACTTGAAGCTTTTCTTCAATTATATGATTTTGCAGGATCGACGGAAAGCTGTGAGCGATGGTTTGCTAGAAGGATTAGTGGAAACTGTGCAGACTCTGGTTTTAAAGGTATTCCTAATACCAATAAAGTGCGCAAACACACGTACAACATATCTGTTTATTTTCAAGTGTACCTGAGACTCTGCACGTACCGTCATCAATACATGCTGGAAAGAAAAATTTCGGCATGTACTGGACACAGGTCAACCAATTAATGATCCCGATGAAAGAAAAGGGGGGGGATATAACATTGCATCCCTGCGTTTTGATTGAGTTTTATTATAATTTTTTGTATTTTTTTAATATTTTAAGTCTTTATATTTTTATTTTTCCGTATGTTGGATTCTTTCATGGATATTATAAGGATTTAGAACATTTAAAAATAAAATTTATAGACTTAGAACACTAAAAAGACACAGAGACTTATAACAATACTCGAGCGAAATGTAGGATTTAAAATTACGTTTTATTGAAGAAAAAAAGTAAAAGGAAATGAAATAAAAAAAATCCAGGAACTAAATATTCTATTTCAATGGGACAGTACATGTAAATATCATGAAAAATGTTTGGAATGTAAGGGGATGCTGGCGGTATATTTTATGTTCTTGAAAGAGCTTTGAGGACTTGAAAGCCCAACTATAGAAGGACAAGGCCATCATCATCAAGACTTGAAAGCGTTGAGGACATGTGGACTTGAAAATACTCAAAAAGAAAGAGCTGATAACGTGTTCTTCTGTTTTATTCAAAAAATTGGAATGCTCCAAGTTAGTCCTTTACATCCGTTTCTGCAGCTTGGACACATTGTAAATGCTCCTGTTAAGTGTAAAACTGATGTACTCCCTCCGTTTATATTAAAGCCACTTCTAATTATCTTATCAAATTTAAAGAGAGTTAAATAATTGAATTGGTTTAAGAATGAATTACTTTCCAAGCTTGCTCCAATTTAAAAGCATGAATTTTAAAAAGAAAAAACATGGGAAGTTATAAATGAGTGACTTTCTCCAAAAAAAAAAATACTCCACCTTTTTATGTAAAGTGATTGATATATAGGACCATCAAATTATTCTAGAAGATGGCTAATATGTAGTCCCTCTATTCAAATTTTTTTATCAAAAATTTTCTCTTTTACCATATTAAATTTGGGTGAGAGAAGTATGTAATTAAATCATGTATATTTAACAATAATAAAGTTGAAAATTTGTAAAACTTTTAGATAGAGTGAATAAGTATTATGATTTTTTTTAGTTAAATATGTTGAAAGTGATTTAAAGTAAATAGTACAATATTTAAAATACAAGGCACTTATTAATAAATGTTGGTGCAGTTGGTAAATATTTGACTCATAATTCGTAAAGTTGTGAATTCAAATTTTGTTATTGATATGAGAATCTTGTTGTAGATGATTTGTAAATATCTTTATAACTACTTGAGTTTAGATGCATACCTTAATAAGTTTTTGGAATCCAACTCATCTTAACTTTTTTAAATAAAAAGATACAAGGCATTTGGTATATTTTAGGAGTAATTACTTTTTTTAAAATATCCTTAATGAATATTTGAATTTAATGAGTTTTTCATATTTATTTTTGATTAAATTATTAAACTTGTGGGAAAAAAAATCCCATTAAACAAGAATAGACGTGAAATGATCATGCAGTTTTAATGAAAAATTATTAAAAATAATTCCTTTTATTTTTATTAGGAGTAAAAGAAAAAATATTAAATTTTATAATAGGATTAATAAAATTTAATTTTTTCTTGATTCTAATGAAACATGTTTGAAATTATTTATAAATAAAAATAGAGGAAATATATATAATGTCAAATGAGCTAAATATATTACGTGCCATCCCATTTACTAATTATTATATTATATTTACAATAAATTGATAGGATGAGGGTACTAATAAAAACTAGGTGTGATCTTATGCTTGCCCCAAAAGAAACAATGGGATCCTCGTTTAATGTATAGGGATTGATAAATGAGTGTTATTATCTTTATCTAGTTTTTCTCAATCGCGTGTAAATTATATATTTAAATTGATTAATTTGATTAACGAGGAATTAAATTGAAAAATGTTATTATGTGATTAACTGAATTGAGGTAAAATTTTTATGAGAGATCAAATTAAAAAATATTTTATATGTGAAATACTAAATTAAGAAATAGTCCATCCATGAAATTTCAGGGTAATTCACTATATAAAACAAAGTGCCAATGTTGTTCATAAGAGAAAAATTAAAAATAAACAAAGTGCCAATGTGGTTCTGGACAGATGGCCCAAAAGAAAAATGTAGTTCTGGACCTCTGGGTTCTGGGACCATAAAAGAGTGGAACCAAACTAAACGCATTACTAGACATGAACGTATAGGCCCAACCTTTTCATGTGTTGGGTTGCTGTTCTTTATCAAAACAATGGGCCCATTATTCAACATCTGATCTTGTGGCATATTTGACTTTCCAAGATTTAAAGTATCTTTTAATTGGAAAAAAAAAAATCACAGTCAAGGAAAAAAAAAGAGATGGCCCATAAAGACTTCACAGGCAAATTAATTGCTAAAAAGAAATTTGAGAGTTTTAAAAATAAGGTCCTTTTGTGGCAGTATTGTAGTGATATTAAAATATTAAAATGCCCTTAAAAAATTAAATTTGAAAATAAAAAAGAATGTTCGACTAGAGGAATTTTGCGGGCAATGGAACAGACGAATGAAAAAGATGAGGAACTGGCAGCACTGACAACTCATTAACTTCTCAGCAACTGGAGGAGTAATCAGGGCGACAATGATAACTAGGCGACACTGGCAGTAGCATTAGAGTTTCTATACTTTTAGGTCCTAGGCGTGTTATTTGACACCCATGGATATTTGAATATCTCAAATAATTATGATGAAAAACTAATATAAAAAATTTAACATTTTTTAATTTGAACATTTATTTAAATATATAGTCTGTTATCATGAAAATTTGATGAAACAAGGCTTTAAAATTCTTAACCTATATACAAAGTATTTGTAGTTAAATGCAACAAGTCTTTGTCATATGCAATTAATTTTCACATGTGTAAACAAGAAGCATTGAGTTTTTTATAATAATTGCAATGACCCTGATAAATAAAATAAAAATAAATACAAAATATTTTTTTAGTGTGGTTTATTTATATTTGGAGCAGTTATAATAATAATGAGTGTTGGCATAGTGAAAGCGCTGCACACAATTCATTCACTTACTTTAGAGTTTGAATCTACTGAAACACAAAAAGCGAGTTTATTTTGTAATTTCAGCTTTGTCAAATTACCAATATAGCCCTCCCTCATCACATTTATTTTTTCTTCCTTCTCTTCCTTATTTCCGTCTCGGTTTGACAGAGCAGGAGGGAGAGAAAATTTTAGAACTGATGCGATCTGGTCTCTGTTTCCTGTGCCATCTTCGATCTGTTCTTTTCCTCATTCACTCTTTGCTGTCGCTGATGAGAGAGCTGAGATGCTGTGCGTGTGCTGTTGCTGGTCTGCCATTTTCCCAACCCGTGTCTGCTCTGCTTCTTGTACTTGACCATGTTTCTTCCTCCATTCTTTCTGTTCATTAATGATGAGCAAGTAAAGAGCTGATTTATGGGTTGGAGGTTGGAATCGATGCTGTCTTCTTCTTCCCATGTTCAGTCATAGGCTCTGCTCTTCTCTTCCCTGTGCGTGTGTCATTGGCTGCCTAAGATGAGAAGCTTCTATATGCGTGAAAAAAAAAAAATCTTCTTCTGCCAGCAGTGAATCATGTAGAGTTGGGAATTGATTTTCTGTGGGTATGAAAAAAAAAAAAATTTAACGGTGTTGAAGCATTGAAATTTGGAAAGCTGAATTGTTTTAAACATGGGTGATTGAAGTTGCAATATCTCCATTTGATTGCTGCTTCCGCAACTGTGTGAAAAGGAGTGATGTTAAAATTGAAGCTAAATTTTTTGTTTAGTGTTGCCATGTGAAATGTGAGAGATGATGATTTAATTTTTTTTAAGTTAACATGGATTTATTCAATAAAAAATTGAACTTGGGAAGCTGAATTAGTTATTTATTTCTACATTAGAGAATTTTAGGAGATGGAATCAAAGAGGAAGAAGTTAGTTTGAGTTTAAAAAAAAAAAAATTAGTGTACCTAAGGTGTTTGACATAATAGAAGAGGTTTTATTTGATTTTTGTACACTTCTTTTTAAAATTTCATTGATCCTTATGAATGATATGTTTAAATTAAGTACTATTGCTCTATGAAATTAAGTTGAAGATTTCAAAGGAAATTTGAGTATGAAATTATCATCAAATTATTTGAATTCTTGGAAAACAGATAGTTGTGAATGAATTTTATGATAGAAGATTGGAATACTAAAAGCTCTTGTGAATAGGTTGGAAATGATGCATAGTTAGTGTTTTGACAAAAAGATTAAGGGAGATGGCATTTTACTAAAGTATTGAGTTGGCATTTGAGGGATTTCTATGTGTAAAGTTTTGTTCTTAAAATTTTAAATTTGTTATAGCTAAATTTTGATAGTGGTAATGTTGGGAGAAAGTTATTGAACTTATTGAAAGTTTGTTTAAAAATCTTAAATTAATTTATAGGGAATTGGAGAATGAGAAATTTAATTGATATTGAGAGGTGAATTATTGAATTCAGGAAATTTCAGGTAAGTGGATAATGTCCCAGTCAATTTATATATTGGCAATTTTTTTTAAATATGGTTTTCAATGATTTACAGTTATTAACATATTTTACTTGCATTAGTTATTTTTATTAATTAAATTATTTTATTTCTTGTAGTAATGACATATACTTAATAGATTGACGAAAATGCTTTAACAAATTCTAGTGCTCCTTGTTTGATAAAGACAATCATGAGAATTGCCTGATGAAGTTTATCAAACGTTAGCTGTGAATTTTTATATTTAGAAGATTGATATTTTAAATGCTTCATCGAGTTTGATGTTGAGAAAATAAATTTATATTTTAAAAGTAATTATTTTCTCACATGTTTGAAAGTTAATTTTGAAGAGACTATATATTGAACACTGGTTGCTAATGGTAGTTCTATTAGCCCTTAGCACGCCTTGATCAATAACTAGCTAGTTTAATTTTCGTGAGTTCCGTTCTCACGTTTGTTATTCGTGGGTCTCAAACTTGCATTTGATTTTTGTGGCTTTAAACCGCATTTGGTTAGCATTACTCTCATGAATTGTG